GGAAACAAAGCATTCGTATAATAAGTAACTGCCCGACTTTATTCTGATCACTTTCTGCAGTTTGTATTATCCAGGCCTATTATATGCTAGAAAAAGTTGCATTTAATTAATAGAGGAGAAGAGCAAACATTTGAACATGATAAATAAAACAGGTAATAAAAAGGTTAAAATTAAAACAAATTCCAAAACAGCATAAGCACAGGATGTAGCTTATAGAATACAATACACCCCCTTGTGGTCTAGTGAAGAAATCAATTGCTACTTTCAATCACAGTGATAAAAATGATCTTGTATGACGTAAACAGAGGTTTATAAAATTATGAATGGTGTGGAGAAATGAAAAAATAAAGTTTTATTTATCCCTTCACATAACACAGGAATCAGGAGTCACCCAATGAAATGAATAGGCAGCAGGTTTAAAAACAAACATAAGGAAGTACTTCTGACCAAACAACAAGTGTGAAAAATCGGGATTGGGGTGGGGGATAATAGGCACCCATAAGACAAAGCCCTGAATATCGGGTCACCCTAACTTCGTCACACAAAGCACAGTCAACCTGTACAACTTGTTGCCAGAGGATGTTGTGAAAGCCAAAACCATAACTGGATTCAAAAAAAGAATTAGAGAAGTTAATGGAGAATAAGTCCACCAAGGGCTATTAGCCAAGATGGTCAGGGATACAACTCTACCCTCTAAGTGTCCCTAATCTTTGACTGCCACATGCTGGGACAAGTCAACAGGGGATGTCTCACTCGATAACTGCCTGTTCTTTTCATTCCCTCAGAAGCATCTGGCACTGGGCACTGTTAGACAGGATACTGGGCTAGATGGACCACTGATCTGACCCAGTATGACCATTCTTACATTAAAAAGAAGATACCATATAAAGAAATTTAACATTGTTTACAAACTTCAAGGAACATGATCAACTTGAAATCCAGCCATTTTAAAAAAAAAAGTTAAAAGTAGTTTCAAGATTCTACTGCTGCTCCCAAGGCATCCCTGACCATTTCTGAGATTTTTATAACCACCATTTTCTAAAATGGTTTGCCCTGTTACTATGGGAAAGACCCACAAGACTCCGGGGGACATTGTGAAAATGACTATACACAAAGTACATAAGAAAAAAAACCTATTTTTCTCCAATCTTAAGAGTTACCTGAAAGAACAACAAATATGCAGGGGCATGTTTTAAAAGAGGATATTAAGTCTTTAAATCTGCAGCAAAGACTGAAGCATGCAATAAAGAGGGTTCACTGTGGCTTAAGAAACAGATGCCAAGGGATATCCTGAGGGCTGATGGTTTGTGATTTCAGCTTTATGAAACAATCAACTGCCCTCGGGTGATATGAATCTCTTCAACCTCTTACTAGCAGCCTCAAAAAATGGGTCAAAAAGGTTCTCCTATGAGGACTCAGGCCTATATCATCCCTTCCTATACAAATACTCAGCAAGGGAACAAAAGTAATACATCCACAGCTTTGAAGCTGCGGACAGCCCACCTGCATCACCACCTTGACGGAAGGGGAGGGAATGATGATAGACTATGCATAAATGAGCTGTGCAGAATGAGAGGATGAGGGAAGCTCAATGTTACCAGCAGGAGATTTTTCAGATTATCCACAATCCTGTGCCCCCCACCCCCCACCCCGCCCAAAATGTGAAATTTTAAAAAGGAAACTTTGAGATCCACTTACATTATTCATGAACTTGATTAAGAATATTTGTGTACTTTTTCTTTGCCAAAAGAGTCATTATTTAAATCGGATATCTGGATAATACAATGTTATTTAAATACTACACAATTTAAAAGTTTGCACCCCAAAAACAGTCATTGTTGATATCAGCTGAGCTGTAGATAAGTACTTTTCAACCCCCAAGGGGTCGGCAGACCATGTCTAAGGGGTTCACGAACGACTGTCATTACCACAGAACAGTGGTTTTCCACCTGTGGACCCCTGGGATCCACAGACTATATTTCTCATTTCTAAAAGGGATCCACACCTCCATTTGAAATTTTTTAGGGGCGCAAAAGCGAAAAAAGGTTGAAAACCATGGTTGTAGATACACTGGAAGTTTGCATTTTGGTGGTAAAAATCAGACTAAACACCAAAGTAAGAACAATCTGCTCAATTTGATGCCACATCACACAGAAATAGGCATGTACTGTGGAGAAAACTTTCCAGCTTGGGTGCCTAGAGTTGGACCCACGTTAAACCCATGATTAAGAACATTAGAAATGGTCTGATTTTTAGCCAATGGACTTGTGGGTGCTCAGCACTACCGGAAGTCTATCTAAATATACATTTGACTGTCTAACTTTGAACACCCAGGGTGGAAAATTTTAGCCCATATTTTCACACTCAATATTTGTTTTCCTATGCTAACTTAAGGTTTTTAAAAAGCGTGTTAAAGGACACCAAGTGTGCTTACCGGACAGCCTCCGATACATTGTTGGAAGTGTGTCCAGATAAAGCATCATGAAGGTTTCGGATGAAGTAATCTCTGTAGTCTTCAGGAAGGGCCATAAATGTTCCTCCCATCACAATGAATTCCACCTTATCCACACTGTGGCCCAGCTGTTTCAGCTAAAAAGTTAAATATAGCTGTGAGAGACTTTGTACCTAAAGGACTCCAATGAAAACCTTTGACTCCAAAATATACTGAACAGTTAGTTCCTTATCAGAATTGACCTTTCATATCTTCTACTAGAATGCCAAATCAATAATGCTTTTGTATACAGTAGCCTTAATATAACTTAGAAATGACTTCTCTATTGCAAGAGCGTAGGATGGTTTATAAAGACAATGTAAAGAGGTGACGTATAGGAGAGTGCTCTAAAGAGATGGGGCATCACAAATGATGGAGCAATACTATAAAGGAAGCTCAAACTGGAAGAGCAGAGTTCAAGGAGATGGGCGAGACCAGGGCTACACAAAATCCAGAGAGTTTTCCCACTGGATTTAGAGAGCAGCAGAAGCCAGTGAAGGCAATAAAGGATTAAGAGCAATGGAGTTTCACTGTTCTCCTGAAAGTTGATTTCAGGAGAAGAGACAGAAGATTTGAGGAACCATTTACTCTTTGTACAGATAAGAAGAGACAGCATCTACTCACATCAGAATTACAGGCAAATCAGTGATCATTCAACAATGTCCCAGGTAGTTTTTCCTATTATATTAGCAGTCAATTACTACTCAGAAGAGTTGCAATCTTAAACACTGTTTAGAATTGGTTGTTTAGCCAACGTAAACGGTTAGTTAAATGGCTTAAGATTCATTCATGAAGAGAGATCATTTAAGTTGGGGAGAGAAGGCGGGTGAGGTAATATCTGCTATCGGACCAACTTCTTTTGGTGAGAGAGACAAGCTTTCGAGCTCTTCCTCAGGTTGGGGAAAGCTACTGAGAGTGTGACAGTTAAGTTAAGACCATGTCTGTATATATAGAGCAGTGCATCTGATGAAGAGAGCTCAAGCAGCAGAAGTTATGTCAGCAGGAGACGCCCTCCCGCTGATATAGCACTGCGCACTCAATGCACTTATGTTGGTGTAACTTATCAGGGGTAGCCATGTTAGTCTGTATCCACAAAAACAATGAGTCGTTCAGTGGCACCTTAAAGACTAACAGATTTATTTGGGCATAAGCTTTCGTGGGTAAAAAACTCACTCCTTCAGATGCATGGAGAACACTTCAATCTCCCTGGACATTCTATAACAGATTTAAAAGTAGCCATAGTTGAACAAAAAAAACTTCAAAAATAGACTTCAAAGAGAAACTGCAGAACTAAAATTCATTTGCAAATTTAACACCACTAATTTGGGCTTGAATAGGGACTGGCTGGCTCACTACAAAAGCAACTTCCCCTCTCCTGGAATTGATACCTCCTCATCAATTATTGGGAGTGGACTACATCCACCCTGATTGAATTTGCCCTATCAACACTGTTTCTCCATTTGTTAGGTAACTCCCCTCTCGTCACATGTCAGTATAATAATGCCTGCATCTGTAATTTTCACTCCACACATCTGAAGATGTGGGGTTTTTACCCATGAAAGCTTATGCCCAAATAAATTTGTTAGTCTTTAAGGTGCCACCGGACTCCTTGTTGTTTTGGTGTAACTTAGGTTGCTCAAGTGGGTGGTTTTTTCACACTCCTGAGTGAGATAAATTAAGCTGATATCAGCTATAGTGTAGACACAGCCTAAATATGAGATCGAACAGATAGTTTAGCATCAGTAGTTGGCACATATTATAAGAGACCATCCAACGTGAAGTGACCCATTAACACCCCTGCAGTCATAAGACACAGATGGTGGTTACTGGGTTAAGTTACTGTAATAAGCCATAAAACCAGCATTTTTATGAAAGACCAGTATTTTTAGTGTCTACTGAAGTTATGAATTTAAGCTCCCAGGGTCATCTTTTAAAAGCGTTGTGCAGGTTTCCTTTGAGGACAAGGACTGATTGATCACTGAATCTGACCTCTTTGTGAAAAGTGTCCACGCACAGGTGATACGTTGTTTTGTCTTTTCATTTTCCTGTGAGAGTTCATTCAAGAGAGCAGTGATTGTCTGGTTTCACCCACATAGTTATTATATTGGATTTATGGTTATTACAACAATCTGTTAACCACTGACCCCTCTTTTTGTGCTATGACCTCAGGGATGTTTAACAGACCACTTCACCTTTACTGGTCCCTTAGAATGCATACTAACTACTCATGCTAAACTATCCGTTCAATGTTATATTTAACTGACACTCCATACCTTTCCCAGACCTGAAGAAGAGCTCAGAGACAAGCTTTGTAACTGCACAATCACCAACAGAAGTTGGTTCAATAAAAATATATTACCTCACCCACTTGTCTTTCTAATATCCTGGGATCAACACAGCTACAACAACACTGTATACATCTTTTAAGTTAGGCAGTTTCATATTTTTTGAGACCATCAAGAACTAAAGCATGAGGACAACAATTGAATCCTACAACTTATCTCCACCAAGTTTATTTATCAGGGGAGAAACATGGAGAAATTTTCTTGGGGATACATACATACACACATGCCACCCAAACTGGGACTGCTGGAACAGCCCACAGTTTTTGGCCTCTGTCCCACTTCCACCTATTTGTCTTGAGTAGCAAGAACTGGATTCCTTTTTGCTGAGTTCTTGACTCTGGACATCAGAGACTGCTGCAGGACAACAAGTAGCCACTTCTCCTATTCCTCCTCCACTATTCTTCCTTGTTCCCCTTTGTTGGCTCCTAAGGGATGGAAGCAGCCACTAGGCCAGCAGTTTCATCTCAGCCCCACCCTCAGGAGAAGGAAAAAAGGAGGCACCTAGATGGGGGGAGGATAGAAGGGGAACATCAAAACAGAAGAAGAAGAATGGGAGAAACCCCACAATGGGGGAAGGAAAGGGAAACATACCAGAGTTTGATCCCATGTTCATTTATCATTATTGTCCATTCTCCATCAAGTGGCAGGTTATGACTTAGTGAGATGCCATCCTCCTAGTTTTCCCCAGGTTTATGCAGTTTTTTCCATGGAGATGCTACTGGAGGGAGCTGGGCTAATGGAACCCCCCAATCACACAGATGTGAAAGTGGTAAGCCACTGGCTTCCTCAGCCCAAATGTAACTGGTAAAAGGCAGGGCTTATTTAGGGGTGAACTAGTTGGGTGTTGTGAGAGCATCAATAGCTAAATATCATATTTTAGGACGGCTAACTCAAGTCACTTTAGATAAGCTATTACCAGCAGGAGAGTGAGTTTGGGGGGGGGGGGGGGGGGGAGGGGGCATGGTGAGAAAACCTGGATTTGTGCTGGAAATGGCCCAACTTGATTATCATACACATTGTAAGGAGAGTGATCACTTTAGATAAGCTATTACCAGCAGGAGAGTGGGGTGGGAGGAGGTATTTTTTCATGCTTTGTGTGTATATAATAAGATCTTCTAAACTTTCCACAGTATGCATCCGATGAAGTGAGCTGTAGCTCACGAAAGCTTATGCTCAAATAAATTGGTTAGTCTCTAAGGTGCCACAAGTACTCCTTTTCTTTTTGCGAATACAGACTAACATGGCTGTTACTCTGAAACCTATCTCAAGTGTAAGACTTTGGGAGTTCTCATCATTGTTTATATGAGTTTTCTTATACTGACAATATTTCATGTAGCAACATTATCATAATGATGAAACATCATATTTATGTATAAAAATAATGCAATATAGGGAGCAGAAAATGAAGGATTTGGCAGCTGGTAGGAGAGAGGATCTTAAAGATCATCGTAAGCAAGTCTACTTTGAGGCCCCAAGATATTTATATATCTATTTAAAAACTCAAACCTCACCAGAGTGAACAAGACAACTCAGTAACCCCCAAGATCACTCTCTTAATTGGAAAGCTGTTTTCAAAATGCGGAAACTAACAGAATTATTGCAACTATTTTCAAACAATACATGTTCCCTTCATTGAAAATATTTACCTGCTCGATTCGATGTCTTGTCTGGAGATAAGGATCGTACCGGGCACGAATGGCCCTCATTGATGTTGGCTAGGAGAAAAAAGGATTCATTATTAAATCTTATTTCTTGACAACATACTGGAAAAGAACAAGACGTGTGAATCTTTAGCCACTGGTTGGACACTCCATTTTCACAAAAATGTAATTATTAAGATCTTGATTCCATTATGAATCCAGTGTCTATCTGGTTGTAGTTTACTGAAAGTTAACCAATGTAAAATCAAATTTGTGTTTTGCCCTGATGTTGTAATGCAACGGAAATAGGTCATTTCAATCTTTTTTTACACCATTTTTACTTGACCACCACAAGTTTGCGGGAGGGAGAGGGGGCAACAAAATGGATTTATTTTTTACCTCTGCAAATTATGATTACAAAACTATTGTCTCAAGATGCGTCGTCTTGATGCTTCATTCAATTTTTTCTCCTACCCTCATCTCACTGCTTTTTTCTCCTTCATGATGCTGCCTGTGCATGGAATGACTTCCCAATGTCAGTTTGTAATCCACCACCCTCTTTTCATCAAATCCCTAAGAACTGATTTCTATGATGCCAACATTGTGAACTATTACTAATTGTTTTTAGACAAGTTATGCTCTCCTTTGAATTTCCTAGTGCATCAGGGACTGCCTCTTTATATCTCGCGAAGTGCCAAAGACACTTAATACTAAACGAATGCGTGTATACACACACAGGCACATGTGTCAGTCTGCAAATCAGTGTGAATTAGGGAAATTTACTGTACATACACACTTCCTAATTTGCACTAATGAATGGGAGCCCCATTGCCAATCACTGAATATTGGATAATAGCAAAGTGAACCAAATATTAAAGATAAAAGGACTCTGCATCTAAGTCTACTTACTTCGTTTACTTTGACAATTATTACTTAGCTTCAATTATTTTTTGACACTTCATAATATACTAATAGATGGAATGAAGCATACTTTTAAAAAAATGTTTAAATAATTTAGTCTCACTACAGCATCTGCTATTAAGCTTTTGCTGGGTAGCAAGAAAACTTTTTCTGCACTATAAAATACGTAGGATTAGTGAGATTCTACTGCAGATACATACGTAATCTCAAAATGTGCTACTCTGGGGTTTGGCATGGGACACTAAATCAAGTAAGATAAGAAAGAGAGTCACTTTTGAAGTATTTTATTTACAGATTTAAAAACCTCAAGATCCCACTCTTTGTTAAAGTGAGTTACGAGACAGGCTTTAGAGCATTCAAGTTTCCACTGGGCCGTTTCCTCAGGCAATATTTATGAAGAACAACTACTTTTGGAGAGACCATACTTGGAACCTGCCAGTGTCCCTTTAAGTTTAAAGCCATCTGAAACAGGAAAATAAAAGGAAACTTATCTTTGCCAACATGAAAAGGATAAAATTGGTAGGAAAAGAAAAACTTTTTTTCAAGCCTAAGGGGGAAAAAAGGTAACAAAATAGTCAGGAGAGAGAAGAACTATTAAAAACTAATTCAAAGGGATTTCCAGCCCTAGCAGTTTAACTGTTTCAGTTTCACTACTCGGTCGTTTCTTTTTTTTCCCCCGCTCTCTCCTTTTTCATTCTTGCAATAAGGACTGATTTTCTAAAGAGCTGAGACTAGAGATGAAAAGGACCCTGTCCCAATTTCACAGACAAAATGTCACATTGCAATATGACCCTCAAAGGTAGTACCTCATAGCCAGTGTAAGACTGCGTTGAATATTCAAAATCAGAATCGGGCCCACCAGGGCAGTATCTGCAAGTATTAAAAGAGAATGAGGAGTCATACACAAACCTGTACAAATGACAAACACAAAACAAAGAGTCTCTTGATTTATCTGAGACAGAAATCTCCACATTTGTGCACTACAAAGCATAGTTTAAAGACATGATTTAGCATGGTAATAAAGAACCAACCTTCCACACAAACTTCCTCGTGGCTGGATTTTACTAAAACTAGACAAGCCATTTACAACGCACACTTTGCTTCTCTACAAAAAAAAAAAGACACTAAACTTTCTAAACTACTACATGCTACAAGGGGCCACAGCAATGGTTCCCTCACCCCACCTAGCAATATTGTTAACCTATCCAACTATACTCTCAGCCCAGCAGAAGCAGCTGTTCTATCTCGGGGCCTCTCCTTCTGCCCCCTCCACCCCCACGAACATGATACAGTTCTGTGGTGACCTAGAATCCTATTTTCGACGTCTCCGTCTCAAGGAATATTTCCAAAATACCTCTGAACAACATACTAATCCACAGAGGTCTCCCTGCCAACACTACAGAAAGAGGGATTCTAGATGGACTCCTCCTGAAGGTCGAAACAGCAGACTGGACTTCTACATAGAGTGCTTCCGCCGACGTGCACGGGCTGAAATTGTGGAAAAGCAGCATCACTTGCCCCATAACCTCAGCCATGCGGAACGCAATGCCATCCACAGCCTCAGAAACAACTCTGACATCATAATCAAAAAGGCTGACAAAGGAGGTGCTGTTGTCATCATGAATAGGTCGGAATATGAACAAGAGGCTGCTCGGCAGCTCTCCAACACGAGTTTCTACAAGCCATTACCCTATGATCCCACTGAGAGTTACCAAAAGCAACTACAGCATTTGCTCAAGAAACTTCCTGAAAAAGCACAAGATCAAATCCGCACAGACACACCCCTGGAACCCCGACCTGGGATATTCTATCTACTACCCAAGATCCATAAACCTGGAAATCCTGGGCGCCCCATCATCTCAGGCATTGGCACCCTGACAGCAGGATTGTCTGGCTATGTAGACTCCCTCCTCAGGCCCTACGCTACCAGCACTCCCAGCTACCTTCGAGACACCACTGACTTCCTGAGGAAACTTCAATCCATCGGTGATCTTCCTGATAACACCATCCTGGCTACTATGGATGTAGAAGCCCTCTACACCAACATTCCACACAAAGATGGACTACAAGCCGTCAAGAACACTATCCCCGATAATGTCACGGCTAACCTGGTGGCTGAACTTTGTGACTTTGTCCTTACCCATAACTATTTCACATTTGGGGACAATGTATACCTTCAGATCAGCGGCACTGCTATGGGTACCCGCATGGCCCCACAGTATGCCAACATTTTTATGGCTGATTTAGAACAACGCTTCCTCAGCTCTCGTCCCCTAAAGCCCCTACTCTACTTGCGCTATATTGATGACATCTTCATCATCTGGACCCATGGAAAAGAAGCCCTTGAGGAATTCCACCATGATTTCAACAATTTCCATCCCACCACCAACCTCAGCCTGGTCCAGTCCACACAAGAGATCCACTTCCTGGACACTACAGTGCTAATAAACAATGGCCACATAAACACCACCCTATACCGGAAACCTACTGACCGCTATTCCTACCTGCATGCCTCCAGCTTTCACCCTGACCACACCACACGATCCATCGTCTACAGCCAAGCTCTGCGATACAACCGCATTTGCTCCAACCCCTCAGACAGAGACAAACACCTACAAGATCTCTGTCAAGCTTTCTTACAACTACAATACCCACCTGCAGAAGTAAAGAAACAGATTGATAGAGCCAGAAGAGTTCCCAGAAGTTACCTACTACAGGACAGGCCTAACAAAGAAAATAACAGAACGCCACTAGCCGTCACCTTCAGCCCCCAACTAAAACCCCTCCAACGCATTATTAAGGATCTACAACCCATCCTAAAGGATGACCCAACACTCTCACAAGTCTTGGGAGACAGGCCAGTCCTTGCCTACAGACAGCCCCGCAACCTGAAGCAAATACTCACCAACAACCACATACCACACAACAGAACCACTAACCCAGGAACTTATCCTTGCAACAAAGCCCGTTGCCAATTGTGCCCACATATCTATTCAGGGGACACCATCACAGGGCCTAATAACATCAGCCACACTATCAGAGGCTCGTTCACCTGCACATCCACCAATGTGATATATGCCATCATGTGCCAGCAATGCCCCTCTGCCATGTACATTGGTCAAACTGGACAGTCTCTACGTAAAAGAATAAATGGACACAAATCAGATGTCAAGAATTATAACATTCATAAACCAGTCGGAGAACACTTCAATCTCTCTGGTCACGCAATCACTGACATGAAGGTCGCTATCTTAAAACAAAAAAACTTCAAATCCAGACTCCAGCGAGAAACTGCTGAATTGGAATTCATTTGCAAATTGGATACTATTAATTTAGGCTTAAATAGAGACTGGGAGTGGCTAAGTCATTATGCAAGGTAGCCTGTTTCCTCTTGTTTTTCTTCTTTCCCTCCCCCCCGATGTTCTGGTTTAACTTGGATTTAAACCTGGAGAATGGTCAGTTTAGATGAGCTATTACCAGCAGAAGAGTGAGTTTGTGTGTGTATGGGGGTGGGGGGGATGTGAGAAAACCTTGATCTATGCAGGAAATAGCCCGACTTGATTATGTAAAGAGTTGTCACTTTGGATGGGCTAGCACCAGCAGGAGAGTGAATTTGTGTGGGGGGTGGAGGGTGAGAAAACCTGGATTTGTGCTGGAAATGGCCCACCTGTTGATCACTTTAGATAAGCTATTACCAGCAGGACAGTGGGGTGGGAGGAGGTATTGTTTCATGATTTCTGTGTGTATATAAAGTCTGCTGCAGTTTCCACGGTAAACATCTGATGAAGTGAGCTGTAGCTCACGAAAGCTCATGCTCAAATAAATTGGTTAGTCTCTAAGGTGCCACAAGTACTCCTTTTCTTCATGGTAATAAGGACTCTCAACTTCTATTGACATTCATACGAATTGAGGGCAGGTAGCACTATACAAGTGCTGTACTATAGCAGTAAAAAAAAAAATTACATGTAAAAAAAGAAGATGACCAGTACTGCACAACAGATATTTTACTTAAAGCATCCAAAGGGGAACAGAATAACAAACGTATATATGAGAAATGTTGATCCGTCAAATAATTGTGTCTACCTAAAATAATTTTTTAATAAATTATACAAAAACATGTACTGCAAATACCTTCCAAAAGCCTGAAATAATTTCAGATAAACCCCATCTCCACTTTATTCAGTTAGGGAACCAGCTCTAGAGATTTGGACTAGTCTCACAGAAAGATTATTAAAATGAAAACAAAGCGATACTATAAGTAATTCTAAATGTGTATAAGCAGCACAAACATTTTCCAAATATCATAATTAAATTAGCCGTCCCACTATCTAGAAAATGACTCCTCTAGTTCAATGTATCTGAAGCATTTAGGTTGTCAATATATATAAAAAATAGATAGGGTCTTCAGTTACAAATTAAAGATAACTCAAGATCTGCATTTCATTTCCAGATACCATTAGGGATTTACATATTGATAGTGGGAAACCATATTTCTATGTAGTTGCTTGAATTCAGGGACATATTGTTTAGCAAACTACAGAGTAAAGTAACATGCAGGCTGGACAATTGTACAGCAATATATGATAAATTACTATTACTGGCCCTGACGACTTACGTTAAACAGATGTTAATTACATGCATGCAAGTTGCAGAGAAAGCAACTGGTGGATACCACAGCATCACTGCTGCTCAGGAGAGAAATGGGAAATGAATTGCTTCCCACAGAAAGCAACTAAAAGGAATCGGTTTCTGTTCGCTCTGAAACATCCTCAGTTTAATTCTCAGGGTTACAAAGTTTAATGGCTAATGTACACTTCATTCAACGTTCAAAGATGACCGGGCACAGGAAGTGTGAGAATTCCCTCAGTTTCAGTAGTTCAATAGTACAGACTGAGCACTCTCAATAACCAAACTAATGGAGCACTCAGCATGTTATTACTTAAAGTGCAGGTCTCTGAATAGCGAGCAAAAATGCCATCATCAAGTTCCAGGTTTGTCTCTCAATGATTCTCTATCAAATCAAATGCACTTTCAAATTCCCTATCAATTACTTTTCCCCACGGTTTGCATGGCAAACTCAGCCTGGACCATTCCTTCTCATGCACCACCACCAGTAATGAAGAGTCTGCAAGCCAAATTAATATCCTTGTTTAAATTGGAGCAACACAATTCAACGTATTTGCACAGATGTAATTGACTGAAATGTCTCAAATAGAACTGTTTTCAGAGTAGCAGCTGTGTTAGTCTGTATTCGTAAAAAGAAAAGGAGTACTTGTGGCACCTTAGAGACTAACCAATTTATTTGAGCATAAGCTTTCATGAGCTACAGCTCACGAGAGCTTATGCTCAAATAAATTGGTTAGTCTCTAAGGTGCCACAAGTACTCCTTTTTCAAATAGAACTGATGATGCACAAGGAGGAAGAACAGACTTCAGCTTCAGAACAGACTCTCCTAGTGTTGGCACTGAAAACTACTAAAATTTTATTTTAGTTACTGAAGCCAGCAGATATGATGCTGAACACTCAGAGCAGAAATGTTATCTGAGAAGGAACTATTATCAAATAGCCAATTTTCAGAATAGAAACACAGTAGGAACATCTCATTTTTTTGCTTCTTTTGAATTTCTGTAATGTTCATTTCCACTCAGCTTGGAAGAGCCCATGGACATGACATCCCTGCAAGCAGTGGGTTGGGGATGTCATGCTGACAACAGAAATACTTGATATAACAGGGGATGAGGTAGCTAAGTGGCATTTTTCATTATAAGTTTGCACTTTTGCAAAGTTTTAAATATTTTATTTCCCAAAACTTTTTAAAAGTCATTTTTAAATTTTCAAAGCCCGTAATTTTTTCTTGCCTCTCTCCATTGTATTTATGGGAGTTTGTGTCTCAAAGTTTGTTTACAGGCTGTTCAAGAATATGCTACTTAAGTCTCTGTAAGTACTTTTCAACTGTGACAAATATTTTCACTCACTTGGTCTGAAACAGTTCAATTTGAGTAGAGTAGACACAGATCTTCAGGGTATGCCACAAGACTCATCTGTTTCCCCAGGCATTTGAAAGGGAGGGAGAACTGTAACAGCAGGTATGAGGAATTGTTCAAACGGTGGGGGATTTATGGTAGATTACCATAAATTATTGCACTAAGGATGCATTTTTAAGCTGTGTGAATGGCTGTGAAACCTTTTTAGCTTTTTTGTAAATCAACACAAACAAACAAACATAATTTGTATTTCACTATTAACAAGTGGCCAAATCTAGCTCTTTGTATTCACTTAAGTATTTCCACTAACACAAGCAGGGTTTGATCCATTGAAGGAAAAGCATGTTTTCGTTGAAGAGAAAGAACTATCAAATAGAGTCCCTGTTTCTGCATAACACACAGGCATCAGCAGTCTGGATTTTGATTCAGCTTGCTACAAGTTTTCACTCATGCAGAAAGAAAGGTGGCCTGTGGACCTTCAGAGGTAATCCAAGTCTGTAGAACCCCAAAACGGCAACAGTGACAGTATGCTACTGCACATGGCCAGACTTATTTCAGAGATACTGAAACACATTTCTCTTTTGGTTCATCTGAACAGTCATACTTACACACATATGTTTCCTGTAAAGTTAATGTGTGGACACCTGTGTGGTTTGCACATCACAGCCACAACAGCAATCTGTAATAAGGAGAGTTACAAAAGAAGAAAATTATAATCATAGTTATTTCTGAAATTATGAAAGATAAAAAGTATATCCTGGAATTATACAAACAGGTACATATGTGAGGGACTATTTTAAATTTTTCCACCTGAGCCTTACCCTTAACACTCTCGTGCATTAACTCTTGAAGGAAAAAACAGTAGTGGCAGTGACAGAGTTGACCACCACCAAATGCAACAGTAAACTAGCACTGCCATTACTAAAAGGGGTTTCCACAGTCCAGACGGACATAGCAGCAGAACATGTTCATGGCACACAAGACCACATTTACAAGCAGATGACCCATCTCAGGTTTGGTACCACAAGCACGCTGCCAAGAGACCCAGGGTGACATTAAAATCCTGATTGGGACAGTCTGGTACACTTTCAGGAGAATATGAGACTGGGAGAATGACAATAGGCATTGGGGAAAGACTTTGGAAGACAGGCACTGGAGGAAGAAAAAACAGGAAACAGACAAAAAAAAGGAAAAAAATTAATCCTCATCAGTCACAGAAAATAATTCTGTGCATCTTTTTCTCCCATGATCTCCTACAGTTTCTCAAACAAAAATTGAGCCTCACAACACCATTTGGGGTATTAATCTCCCTTTTAACAAATCAAGAATATGAGATCTGGAGAGGTTAAGATGCAATTTTTCAAGCGTCCGCTAGTTTTGAGTGCACAACTTGAGACACCCAGGACCTGATTTTCAGAGATACTTGTCAATTATTATATGGCAACATGGAATTACCTTGATAACTGTACATTTCCAGATTTTTTAAAACTGGGGAAGGAGGCAGGGAAGGGCAGGGAGAGTGTGTGTGGTATGACAGGAAGATTTAAAATATCCTGTTGGATGCTAGCTGTAGTTAAGTGTTAATACTTTTCAGCCTTAATTATCTTTTAAGGAAATTGTGGGTGAAGGATTAAAATCTTGTTACTGGACCATTTGCTGAACCAGCCAGCTGCAACAGTACTCAATTTTAAATGGGTCTCGTTTCCAGATTAACCTGTGGGAGTGAGACATACTAATCTAGTTAACAAATGGAAGTCACTGCACCAACCCTCTTCTTTTCGCCTTCATGAGATACTTTGAAAACCATATTCCCTTGCCATTACTATGATGCTGTAGACCAGTGTTTTTCGAAGTTTGGGTCTGTAAGGCACTGGATCGCCTTGCTCAGCACCCAGGGACCCTAGCAGCTCTGGTCAGCACTGCTGACTGTGACGTCAGAAGTCCCCGTCGGCGGTGCTGCCCAGCTAAGGCAGGCTAGTGCCTACCTGTTTGACACCGTGCTGCACTCCAGAAGTGGCCAGCAGCAGGTCCACCTTCTAGTCAGGGGGGCCACAGGACTCCACAAGCTGTGCTCGCCCCAAGCACTGGCTCTGCACTCCAATTGGTCAGGAACCAGCCAATAGGAGCTGGGTGACAGTGCCTGTGGGTGAGAGCCGCATGGAGCCAAAACTTGTGCGCCTTCAACTAGGAGCCAGACCGGCCGCTGGCCGGACCACTGCACCTTGGCTGCGCGGATGACCAGGAGCCGCCGGAGACAAGTCCACGCCCCAATCCCCTGCCCCAGCCCTGAGCCCCTCCCACACCTCAAACCACCATCCCCAGCTCCGTTGGGTTGCGGGCATCCATTTTCTTCAACTGGGTCCCCAGAAAAAAAGTTTGAAAACCACTGCAGTAGACAATCTGGGAAGTTGACCACATATCTAGTACTTCATTAAAGCTTCTGGACTTTCAACATCTTTACAATATTTGACAACAATTAATCCTGGTCTGTCACTGAAAGGGTCATTTATATATAGTGCTCACCCCACTAGCAGTTCGGATAGGCTTTGCCTTCAACTTGGGTACCAGCACCTTGCGATACTGAGGTGGTACAGCAGCGATGATGTCAACCAAACGAGGCTGTGCGGAAAGCCCATACTTAGCAGACGTCTTGGTTTTCACCCTAAAATGGAAGGATATCAAATTATTTTATTCTATTCAAGTCCTTACGCCCATTGCTGTGATATCCCAGCACCTACCTACAACTCAATCCAGTAAGTGCTATGTTACTGTCTACAGTTCAGACTAACGTACACTACTTAATGAGACACACGTTAAAAGAACCTAATTTAAAAGCTGATGCTAGCTATATGTGATAGCTAACTTGGCTTTATTAAGGCATAAAAAAATAACCCATGACCCGAGGCAACTGTAATTGTAAGATTTTGTATTTTTGCTATTTCTTGGCCTTTTTTTTAATTAAAGCGTGGTTTTACTCAAAAAAGTTCTGAAAATAGCACTAGAAGGCTCAAAGTTTATTATTTCTCAGTCACTGAGAGCAAATTAGTTCAGTTTATGAGATTTTTCTCTAATTGCTACCCTGCAAACCCAGATTCCTGCTAGGTCTCTTTCCAACTTGTGCCCAGGAAAAGGTCTTTGAAGAGAAGAACAAAGCACGGCAATAGGAACCTGGGGCCAAATCCTGTTCTCAGTCTTAATACAGTTATTCTGAGTTTACAAAGGTAACAGAGAAGAATACTGTTTTAGTTAACAATTCTTTTCATTACATGGGAGCCTGAATTTAATCCAGATCACTATCACTTGACTCCGGATACATCTACACAGCAAACAGAAGACCCATGGCAGGAAGTCTCAGAGCACAGGTCAAATGACTTGAGCTTGGGCTGTGGGGCTAAAAATAGCAGTGTAGACATTCAGGAGCCCAGCAAAAGGGGTGGGTCTCAGGGCCTGGGCTCTAGCCCAAGCCCAAACACTAATTTGCTCTCAGTGGATCATAGTGGATCACAAGCTCAATATGAGTGTTGTAAAAAAGCAAACATCATTCTGGGATGTATTAGCACAACTGTTGTAATCAAGACATAAGAAGTACTTCTTCTGCTCTACTCTCTGATTAGGCCTCAAGGAGATTATTTTGTCCAGTTCTGGGCACCACATTTCAGGAAAGATGTTGACAAATTGGAGAAAGTCCAGAGAAGAGCAACAAAAATGATTAAAGGTCTAGAAAACATGGCCTATAAGGGAAAATTGAAAAAAATTGGGTTTGTTTAGTCTGGAGAAGAAAAGACAAGAGGTGACATGATAACAGTTTTCACGTACATAAAAGACTGTTACAAGGAAGAGGGAGAAAAATTATTCTCCTTAACCTCTGAGGACTGGACAAGAAGCAATGGGCTTAACTTGCAGCAAGGTTGGACATTAGGAAAAACTTCCTGTCAGGGTGGTTAAGCACTGGAATAAATTGCCTACAGAGGTTGCAGAATCTCCGTCATTGGAGACTTTTAAGAGCAGGATAGGTAAACACCTGTCAGGGATGGTCTAGATAATATTTAGTCCTGCCATGAGTGAAGGAGACTGCACTAGATGACCTCTCAAGGTCACTTCCAGTCCCATGATTCTATGATCTACACTGATATTTTTAGCCCCACAATGCAAGCCCGAGTCAGTGGAGGGTTTGTTTTTGTTTTTTGCTGTGTAGACGTACCCTGTATTGCCTCAAGGTGCCACAACTACTCCTGTTCTGTATTGCCTCTGTGGGACTAACAGGTTGGACAGACTTACAATGTAAAAAATAAGAGACATGTTTATTCTTTTTCATTAGTATGACTCATGCCATGGTACAAAAGCTCTGAATGAAGCAAATGGGTATATTTTAAAGTCAGTACACAAATGCAATTATATAAGATTTGTATTCGTGAAAGAAATTCAGTTGGGATGTGAAAACTATGTACAAAAATATCTGAATAGACAATTATTCCTCCAGGCTGGGTACCTGCCCTGGGAAGCATAGAGATAAGTTACTGGCTGGCACTACTTACTTATTTAGATTCACATCTCTTCCCTGCTCATGAGCCTCAATCAGCTGTTTAATGACATCAGCTATTGTCATCATCATCAGCTCTGCATGGCTGAGGTCTCCTGAAATAAAAATGAAGTATGTTCAGGCAAAAAAACCACACATACATATGACATATGCTAATCATTTGTGCAAATTACTAATTCAAGCTAACACTTCCTACAATTCCAGCAGTAGGCTGCTGACCCCACAGAGCTATGCCAATGCACATGATTCCTGATATACATCACTCGCTTATCGAGGGAAACAACTGTCATAAGATGTTTTGTTTTATGTAAAAAGAAAAGGAGTACTTGTGGCACCTTAGAGACTAACCAATTTATTTGAGCATGAGCTTTCGTGAGCTACAGCTCACTTCATCAGATGTATACCGTGGAAACTGCAGCAGACTTTATATACACACAGACAATATGAAACAATACCTCCTCCCACCCCACTGTCCTGCTGGTAATAGCTTATCTAAAGTGATCAACAGGTGGGCCATTTCCAGCACAAATCCAGGTTTTCTCACCCTCCACCCCCCCACACAAATTCACTCTCCTGCTGGTGCTAGCCCATCCAAAGTGACAACTCTTTACATAATCAAGTCGGGCTATTTCCTGCATAGATCCAGGTTTTCTCACATCCCCCCCACCCCCATACACACACAAACTCACTCTCCTGCTGGTAATAGCTCATCTAAACTGACCACTCTCCAAGTTTAAATCCAAGTTAAACCAGAACATCTGGGGGGGGGGGGGGGGGGGTAGGGAAAAAACAAGAGGAAACAGGCTACCTTGCATAATGACTTAGCCACTCCCAGTCTCTATTTAAGCCTAAATTAATAGTATCCAATTTGCAAATGAATTCCAATTCAGCAGTTTCTCGCTGGAGTCTGGATTTGAAGTTTTTTTGTTTTAAGATAGCGACCTTCATGTCTGTGATTGCGTGACCAGAGAGATTGAAGTGTTCTCCGACTGGTTTATGAATGTTCGCAAAAGAAAAGGAGTACTTGTGGCACCTTAGAGACTAACCAATTTATTTGAGCATGAGCTTTCGTGAGCCACAGCTCACTTCATCTGATGAAGTGAGCTGTGGCTCACGAAAGCTCATGCTCAAATAAATTGGTTAGTCTCTAAGGTGCCACAAGTACTCCTTTTCTTTCTTGCGAATACAGACTAACACGGCTGTTCCTCTGAAACCTGTCTTTATGAATGTTATAATTAATGACATCTGATTTGTGTCCATTTATTCTTTTACGTAGAGACTGTCCAGTTTGACCAATGTACATGGCAGAGGGGCATTGCTGGCACATGATGGCATATATCACATTGGTGGATGTGCAGGTGAACGAGCCTCTGATAGCGTGGCTGATGTTATTAGGCCCTGTGATGGTGTCCCCTGAATAGATATGTGGGCACAATTGGCAACGGGCTTTGTTGCAAGGATAAGTTCCTGGGTTAGTGGTTCTGTTGTGTGGTATGTGGTTGTTGGTGAGTATTTGCTTCAGGTTGCGGGGCTGTCTGTAGGCAAGGACTGGCCTGTCTCCCAAGACTTGTGAGAGTGTTGGGTCATCCTTTAGGATAGGCTGTAGATCCTTAATAATGCGTTGGAGGGGGTTTTAGTTGGGGGCTGAAGGTGACCGCTAGTCGCGTTCTGTTATTTTCTTTGTTAGGCCTGTCCTGTAGTAGGTAACTTCTGGGAACTCTTCTGGCTCTATCAATCTGTTTCTTTACTTCTGCAGGTGGGTATTGTAGTTGTAAGAAAGCTTGACAGACATCTTGTAGGTGTTTGTCTCTGTCTGAGGGGTTGGAGCAAATGCGGTTGTATCGCAGAGCTTGGCTGTAGACGATGGATCGTGTGGTGTGGTCAGGGTGAAAGCTGGAGGCATGCAGGTAGGAATAGCGGTCAGTAGGATGACCCAACACTCTCACAAGTCTTGGGAGACAGGCCAGTCCTTGCCTACAGACAGCCCCGCAAACTGAAGCAAATACTCACCAACAATCACATACCACACAACAGAACCACTAACCCAGGAACTTATCCTTGCAACAAAGCCCGTTGCCAATTGTGCCCACATATCTATTCAGGGGACACCATCACAGGGCCTAATAACATCAGCCACACTATCAGAGGCTCGTTCACCTGCACATCCACCAATGTGATATATGCCATCATGTGCCAGCAATGCCCCTCTGCCATGTACATTGGTCAAACTGGACAGTCTCTACGTAAAAGAATAAATGGACACAAATCAGATGTCAAGAATTATAACATTCATAAACCAGTCGGAGAACACTTCAATCTCTCTGGTCACGCAATCACAGACATGAAGGTCGCTATCTTAAAACAAAAAAACTTCAAATCCAGACTCCAGCGAGAAACT